TAGACTTTGACACAAGAATACAATATCGCCTATGACGCGATCATGAATGGATAGAAACGAATAACGGAAAATAATTGAACAAAACTTGAAGAAAACATTGAAGAGACGGAAAAGAGCTGAAAAAAGCTGAAAATGTCCATATCCACAAATTGGCATGCTGTGTCCTGCGCGCACCCTGCGCGCTTGGAACAGACTTGCCGGCGCCATACAAAATATGTAGAGGGCTGTAACTATGCGGAGAAGAGGGGTTGAGGAAAATTCAGAAACTCAATTGTAGGGTTTTTGATGTAGAACAAAGTTATGTCAAACAAGTGAAAAAATTATGTGAAGGAAGGAAAACTTGTGACTTTTTTATAACAGCCACCTCAGGTGGCTGCCCAGGTGGCTGAAAAGAACATAACTCCGAAAAAAGTTTGCCACGCCTTTACCTCACTTAATAATTTCATAACTTTTCTCACGTATAGTCCTAGCTCCTTATTGCCCATCTACACACCAAATTTGGTGTCATCTCATTTTCTCTTCACTGTAAGCAAAGTCTTTTGTTTATTTCGGGGCAATGAATTGCGCTTACCCGGCGAACCTGTTAAAGCAGGAGATTTTGTTTGCAGGAATGGGGTCGATGAGACACGAGTGAAAATTTGCGTCCTTTTTTTGAAGATGAAAGGTGACATGAAGGAAGAAGGCGATTGTGTGTGTAAGGGGTGGAGAAGGGGCTGGGGTTTCCTCTTCAACGATATCCCCCTTGCTTTATTCCAAAACGATGTTTAGTTGCCTTGTAAGCCACCAGTGCCGAACCCTGGGTGTAGATCAGCAAAACACTATTTTAGTGTAGGTCATACGGTAGTGGACATAATAGGCACGGTAATTGCACTACTCCTTTGATGTTCAAAAAACGTGTTCGAATCAACAAATGTAGGCAGTTGCTGACATATATCGATAATTTGAACACTTTTTCTTAGACTTGGGTTTTTTAGCCTTCTTGACTCAATTTTCTAGCTTTCGGTGGTGCGATCGGTTTCAATCGTAAACGGCAGGCAAAACATGCATGTCTCATATATGAAGCTGAATGTGTGTCTGACTGTTTGTCTGTATATCTGTATGTCTGTCTGTATGTGTGTACGTACGTTTCTAACAGAAAATTCCATTTTTTAACCGATCCGGAACGAACTTGGCACACATACACTATGGCGCGGGCGGATGTCATGTCATAGGCTACTTTTCGTTGTCGATCGATGTCGATTTCATCGATTTTTATCGATTTTTTGCAAAGTTCATCTACAGGGCTGGGAGTTGGCACAGGGGGAGGGGGGTAATTGAGCTCGATTTCTTGTGTTGATTTCGAATACAATATCAGTTTCCAGAATTCGATCACTTTTATTGATTTTTTTGATTTTTTTTGCAGAATTACCTACAGGGCTGGGAGTTGGCACAGGGGGGAGGGTACGTGAGCACGTTGATTACGAATACAACATTAGTTTCTGAATGTATCCATCACTGATCGATTCTAATCGATTTTTTTTGAAATTTGTGCTGAGCTGAGACTTGGCACAGGGGGGGGGGGCTAAGTGGGCATGCTGATTTCGAAAACAACACAGGGAACGGGAAATGAAGTGTAGAAGTGGGCACAGGGAAAGGCTGTACGGGGATAGAGATTCGACCTTTATTGAAGTGTTGTTTTGACAGGTCCGAGCGGAGCTGGGTAAGCAAGCTAGTTTTTTGATAATATCAAAATTCAGATATTTTTGCAACTGGCGACTTGGTGATTATTGCAGTAGATAATTGTAACAGACTTTTTTTTTCAGCGAAAGTGCAGGAATGAGTTAGTGAATCAAAAAAGTAGTGACGTTTTTATGCAAGACCCATTTGATAACAAATTTACTCAACTACTCTTTTTTATAAATAATTAAGGGCAGTGCCTCGGCTAGACCAAACATCACAAAAATTTGATGTGGAGGGCTGCCTGTGCCCAAACATGAGAAAAGAGCCGGTCCGAGTTCAAGGTATGCTGCCCCTGCCTAGAAAACCGCTCCTAAAGCCGTACGAGGAAGCCGCTCGTACATGCGCTCGAACAAGCTTCGGGCGCCCTCTCACTGTCAGAGGCGACATGACGCAATTCTATAAACATGATGCGCAACGACTCTACATTTCTAACTATGGCGGCTAGTGTTTCACTCGACCAGATCCAAAATGAGAAGCCTTAGGAAATGCTACTTTTTGCCATTTTTGCGCTTTAAAGGTGAATGCAGATTCAGCGCGTCGAACTGCCTTAAGTAAGCAAAAAAGTCCTCAAGTCGAGGATTCACCGGGCCACTGCCTTTAAGTTTCTCCGTAAAAGCTTAGAATAAGAAAAGTATTAGTAACGATACATAATAAATCTAGACATTTTCTTTGTACACAGCATGCTTTGTTGAAAATTACCACTCCTGTAATATCTGTGTTTCCTGTGATTCTAAAGCAGAGCTGTCAGCGGCCTCGCTACTGCCCCGAATGAAACGTAACCCTGAAAATTGATGTGGGCAGCGAGGTGATAAGCCACCGAACATGAACTAAATTTCAATTTATATAAAAAGTAACTGAACCTGCTTGTTTGTTCGTCGCATGCATACAGAGTGTCTTTAACTGACATTGATAGTTACAGTTTTTTTCTGACAATCAAACATTTGATCTCTCAAAGCCTTATTGTACAAAAAGCTAACGCATTTCTTTGAACACAATATCGTAGGGCTGGTAGTATTCAAATTTAAAAGATGGCTTAAATTAATCAATTTAATTAACTTAATTTAAAAGCAAAATCCGAAAAAGCAGTTGAAAAAAAGAAAAAATGCATAAGTTGGCAAAGGGTTTGCCCTATCTGGTGGTTATTAGTGCTCCTCCGAAAGTTTTATACAAAAATTTTTGAGGTTAGTGAAATTTGGACATGGTGAAAAGGAAAATTTCTAACGAATATCTCATCACTCTCTCAACAAAACACAATGTGAGTTTAGCGCATGGAAAGAAAAAGAAATTCTGCATTGGATGCTTTTTGAAGCATTTGTTTATCTTCATTCTAGCGTGTTTGCCGATGGATTGGAAAAACCGACAGAACTTTTGCACCGACTTAATAGATCTGACCGTCGTTTTTTAGAAAAAAGTGGCAGAGAAGTCAATAAGTGCCAAAAGAGCTCACAGAGTTCCAGAGCAAAAGCAAGAAACCGTCAAAATTGCGAGAAGACTTCTAAAATTAGGCGTACGCCTTTTTTGGACATGGTGGTAACAAGTGATGAAAAATGAGTCGTATGTTAATGAGGAGCGCCATGAAGAGTGGAAATCCCTCAGCGAACGGTTGGGGCAAACGTTGAGGAAGGTTTTCGCGCGATGAAATTGATGCTTTGGGTATGGTGGGATAGGCAAGGGGTAGTTTCTGGCGTTTGCTAGAATTCGGTAAGACCGTTGACGCAAAACTGTACTGCGAGTGTTTTGATATAACCTATCGCGCTCTTCGAAATCGAAGAATTTAGTGTTTTTTTTTGACGACAAGCAAGGCCTCATAGATCGCCGACACCCTTGATAAAACAAAAGCTTTGAAATGTAAGCAAATAGACAAGATATCCTAAAGCCCAGATAAGGCCTCAAGTAACTTTTACTTTTTCGTTCTCTCGAGCATTGGTTGCCTGGAAAAAGATTCCAAACCATCGAAGAAATGCACAATCCCTGCGACTTTTCCGTTCTACCGAAATTAATATGGTCGTAAAATTTGCGAGCTCGAAGAGCAATGGAAGCAAGTGATCGCAAATAAAGGAAAATTCCTCTTTTATTAGCTTCGTGCTGTTCCGGAGTAATTGTATTGTATAGAAGTTTTGTTAATAAAAAAATTGCAAAACTTACGTGCAACTAACACATAACAACACTAAACGCCCCAGCTCAAAGTTTGCAGAAATAATAGGATCGATGATAATGCACTGTTTGAACTGATGTTACTTTCGTAAACACTCCCCCCCCCCACTATTTGCGAACTCCCACACCGTAATTTGAAGTATATTGATAGAGTCAATAAAAGTAATGGGTATTTTCATCAACGTATTCTATTAGGTTGGTCCGAAAGTTCTTTCGCACCATTTTCAAAAAAACATAACTTCCTTCCTTCACAATGATTTTGCGCAATTCAAATTTTATTAGAAAGCGTAAAGCATGCAGTTTCCAAAAGTCTTTTGATGACCTTCCAACTTGCTCAGGTTGCAGAGATAAAAATGAAAGAACGAGATTATCGGAATCGGAATTTTTAAGCAAAAATTTTAGAAATTCAGAAACTATGCGATAATCCAAAACAGCCATCGTCCTAAGTTTTCTTATATTTTATTACTAACTGAGTCAAGTTTGTGCTGATCGAGGTCTTTTTCAGAAGTTATGAATTTCTGAAATAAAATGCCGAAAAATCGTTTTCTTAAGAATTCCTTAGAAAATTGATTTTTGGCATTTTTTTTTCAAAAACTCATAACTTCTGAAAAAAGATCTCGATTAGCACAAACTTGACTCCTTTAGTAATAAAATATAAGAAAACTTTAAATGATGGCTGTTTTAGATTTTACCGCACAGTTTCTGAATTTCTAGTTTTTGCTTGAAAATTCCGAATTTCGGATGATCTCGTTTTTTCATTTTTATCTCTGCAACCTGAGCATATTAGGAAGCCCCAGGAGACTTTTGGAAACTGCATGCTTTACGCTTTCTAATGAAATTTGAATTGCGCAAATTCATTGTGTGGGAAGGAAGTTATAATTTTTTTGAAAATGGTGCGAACGAACTTTTGGACCAACCTAATATTTATAATCAGCACACCCATCCATCCTTGTGCCAAACAGTAGCTCAAATTTGCGAAAAAATCGAAAAATCAATACAATTTAACAACGAAAGTTCCGAAGTCTGCAGTTTTGGCCCAGATTGGTATAATTTTTCTATTATGAAAGTACATAACATCAATTCTGGTGCATTTATGTAGATTTCTGAAGGTTTGAAACATGACTTACATGTCCGTCGGCAGCAGTGGCATAGCTTGCAAGCAGTGCTTGTCCGAACTTCTCTTGCGTTTTTAGGAAACACCATGACTCCGCCAATTTTTTTAAATCCTGAAAACTAAGATAAGAGTGAGTTGCGTTAAGTAAAAAGATTTACGAAAAATCCTGGTGTTTTACTTTTGGACAACATCAAGTGTGTAAAGGCATGAAAGCCAATTGGCATTAATCTAAAATGTAACCGTCCGATAAGTGAATGCATAGAATTATCTTTTGCACATCTTATAATAGATGTTAGACGCGGTAGATGCCTGTTGCTACTTTATCGTAAGCAGTACTGAGCATGCAGTTACGTGGTTGTCGTAATCGCAGACTAGTCGAGTTGACAGGATCTTATGACACCGCCAATGTTTCGTGATGGAACTTTCCCCTCACGAACGAAAGAGTCCCATCGCTCATTTGTCGCGCGTCCTTCATTCTAACCTTCATTTCCTTCGCAGTGATATCGGGGCACTCGAGTGCGTGAGGAATTGGCGTTTGTGGAGACTGTTTCGGAACCGTAGGTGTGACGCATAAGGCAGTTTCCATGACGTGTCGTCCTAGGCTTTTTTATTCAATATATTAGGCTCTTCACTAAGTCTAAGTAGCACTCCATAACTTCTCGCTTTTGGTTATTGCTGTAGACTGCCACGTAAGGTATAGATTGGCATAAGCCGCTCGCTTTCTAATGACAAAGTATTTTTCGAAAGTGGTGAAATTCAAAGATTTATGGGGTATTAAGTGAAAATGAACCCGTTTTCAACCTAGATCATAACAATTCGGAAGTGTGCCTAAATTGTTATTTGAGGTTGACTCATCTAGCTCAGCAAGGAAGAAATGGATTTCGAAGACAACTCCATAATTTGGCGCCCTCACAAATTAAACGAGCCGCTGTACGCAAATTGCTTAGGGACAAGCGTCATTCACTAAAAGTCGAAGTCCCAGAATTCGCCAAAACTTTGCATAATGGAGTTATTTGCCCTGCTGAATATGAATATCATATTCATTCATCAAGTAACGCCCCTTTTCCTGTTTAGCTTGAGACCCCTTACAGTAAACCTACCGTAATGTTGCAAGAATCTCCTACCATGCAAAACCGATATCGTTTTCGTGATCAGCATGTCAGATAACCCATCTGCACAAAGCTTCGCCAATTTTGAAATACCCTATGTTTCGGAGAATAAGACGCATTTTTGTGCACCGCGCTCGAGCAGTTTCGCGACGACGCGGGCGATGTGCGACGCCGCAAAGGCAGCGGTACTAACTTTTTGCAACAGTTTTCAGCATTCTTTCTCCGTTAAATCTCTTATGGCCATATGTTGTTTAAAAAATCAGTCTGCTCTGTTTTTATTTCATCATAAGTCGCCAAACAAAAATTTTACACTAAAACACTACTGTTATCTTCTGAAACACGTGTAATGTTTGTCACTGAGTTCGTTTATGTTTACATCTAGTCAAATTTTCGCTAAACTTTTTCGAAAGTTGAAAGCATTGACATCCTGACTCTGAAGCGATCATTCAGCAATCTCCAGGTAAAGTATATATAAGTGGACCATTAAAGTATAGCTCAAGCCAAGCCCAAATCTAGGGCGCAACATCCACGTTAACGTTCGCGCAGCAGGTGCGCCTTATACATGGGTGAGCCTTATACTCCTGAAAATAGGGTAATCTTCAAATTTTTTCCTCATACCATACACCTACCGTAACCCCGCTGCGACGTCAGAATTTTGCTCAACTTGGCTGCACTTGTAGCTTACGTCACAACCTACATGATGGTGAAATTTGAGGGCGCCTTTTTGCAAAGTGAAAGAAGTTATAAAAGTAGTTGCAAAACTTAGTGAACAGCCTGATAAAAAGCGCCCCGAGGTTTCTGACATCGTTTCTGTTATTACTCGAGGCCGTAGACAATTGTGTTCGGAGCGATTTGTATACTTGATTGTTAACGTTCGCGCAGCAGGTGCGCCTTATACATGGGTGAGCCTTATACTCCTGATTTTGTATACTTGATTTTTTTTTGTATACTTGTCTTTGCTGATATACAACATTATTTATAATAGCGGACTAAAAGTGCTTACGTGATTTTGTGTGTGTATGTGTGTGTATGTGTGTGTGTGTGGTGTGTGTGTGGTGTGTGTGTGTGTGCGTGTGTGTGTGTGTGTGTGTGTGTGTGTGTGTGTGTGTGTGTGTGTGTGTGTGTGTGTGTGTGTGTGTGTGTGTGTGTGTGTGTGTGTGTGTGTGTGTGTGTGTGTGTGTGTGTGTGTGTGTGTGTGTGTGTGTGTGTGTGTGTGTTCCGGTCAACGATCTAAAATGAATTTTGCATAGCGCATGCTACCAGAATGAAAGCCTGCCATGCAAGCGCAAAATTCGGATTCGTTGAGTGGATTTCTTAGAAAGTAAGCGTCAAGCAACCACTTTTACCACTTCAACCACCACGCAACAGTTTTTGGGCAGCAAAATTGGGTCCGTCAGCACTTTCTGTCAAGTCGTCATTGCGTGCAAGTAAATGCGCAAGATATAGTCTTCAAATCAAAAAGTGATTAAAAGTCCACGATTTGACGAAAAGGGGCCGAAAGGAATTTGCTACGTAGAAGGTCAACTTGCCAATGTTTGAGCATTTGAGAAGGTTTTTGCACAAAGATGTAGCTTACAGTGATTACTGCCCTTGTGGCAACTGCCATGCCATAAAAATTTCAAAAACATTCAAATTTGCATTTGTTCTTCAACGAAAAATGTCATCCACGCGAAATTACCAATCTCACATGGAACGTTCGGAATGAGTATTTGTTTACAGTTTATACGAGATAGTCAGCATAGCGCGGCGAGTTTTGATGTCACCATTCTGAAAATGAGGCGTAAGGCATACAGATAATAAGCCTAATGCGAACATCTAGTAGAAATGACGCACTCGCCTTGACAATGACATTCAAACAAGCGCACTCCTACCAAGCCGATTTCGTTGTATGAGTTGTTAAGACCAAAACGAAGAACAATTAACTTTGAAACATGCCATTAATTATTTTTTGTATCTAAACAAAGTTTTACTGGCTGAAGCAACGATTCTGAAAAACATTGCAGACCGAAAAGATCATGGCAATTCCCTGGCCTGCTCCGCAAGCTGCCTCCGCACAGGCAGCTTGCGGAGCAGGCTGAATATTATTTAAGGCAAACAGCAAAAATGGTGCAATAAAATGCCAGTCACTGCGTGCAAATTCAAAGTCGCGGAAGTGAGATCTTCAAGTAAAAATAAAGAGGAACAAAGTTTTAAAGTTGGCCATCTTCACGCCCATCAATCTAACAAATTCTGCGTCTCTTCTCATGACCAAAAAGCTTTTCCCGACATTTGTGGCAAGTCAAAGTTAGATAAACCCTTATTTTTTCTTCTCTTTCCACAACAACTACCCTTCCTCTTTTACTCCAACTCCCCATCTTCTAAACACGTCGCAAGTGCTCCTCACTGCCACAAATTACATTCTTTGCAAAACCCGCAATTTCCACCACCAATGCGGTCTTCAGCATGCGGGGGAAATCAAAATATGCCGAAATAAAGAATTGGCTTGTTTACTTCAAATGAAAGCATAAAACACAGAAATAGGTGTTTGAATACGCAGGGAGTTGGAGGCTATATTTGGAAGATCATGAAAAAGCAATGTAAGCTAAAGGCTGGTAACTTTTTCAGAGTAAGGTGGCTTTTAATGAGCTACGTGAGATGGCTCGGAGATAACAAAATTACAATTTTTTCCTCTTTTCATATAATTTACCAAACTTTTATAATAACTTTTTCAGAGTAAGGTGGCTTTTAATGAGCTACGTGAGATGGCTCGGAGATAACAAAATTACAATTTTTTCCTCTTTTCATCTAATTTACCAAACTTTTATAATAACTTTGTTCTACATTTGAAATCTTACAAACTAATTCTCAAGCGCCTTAAATCCCCTCCTCCCGCCTAGTTATAGCTAAACAATCTGAATGGCGGCGTCTGCTTTAAGCGCAGTGGTGCGCGCTTAACCGCATGCCGCTGTCAAGTAAAGGTACGCACATCAGTAATTGTTTTACAGTGTTCAACGTTGTTTTTGTGTTTTGTTTTATATCGCGGATCGTGATGCAAATGTGTGCAATCTGAAGAGATGCGAACTGCAACAAAATGACATCCGAACGCCAGCCGCGATGCTCCTTTCGTAAATCGCATTACAATCCACCAATGTTACCAATGCTTGCTAGAAAAAGATGTATGTCGCGAGATGCCACAGAATGAATTCCCGATGCCAAATGCAATATTGTTCATACAGTGCTGGACATAATTATCGAGACACTCTAGAAATTGTCGTAATTTTCGTTCTTGTCAGTGAATCTGTCTGAAACTTTGCTGTATGGTGCGCATGTAAGGCCTACCATAACTCCTCGGAACGGCTTCCAATCCCATTGATTTCGAACGGAGAAAAATGGAAAAATTCGAAAAAGCCTGTTTTGCAAGCTGACATAATTATAAGGACGCCTGGCCTTTTTAAACATTATCGCATTCCTTGACTCCCAAATTTTTTTGAGTTACATCCCAGAATATGAAACTTTTGCAGCACCTAGGACCTGTCATGTTACTCAAGGAAAGATGATCCTTGCATTTTTTCTTTTTTTCATTTCCGATGGCATCAGAAGTCAAACTGCGTCAACAAACAGCTGGTTTGAAGAGTTTTCAAGCCCGCGTTCATTTCAAATGACTCTCAAATGTCTCCAACCTCACCATAGGGTTGTCGCGCTTTTGCACCACAAAACTCGATTTTCAAGTTACAGAAAACGCTGCAATGTAGCCGCAACAATACACGTACAGCAATAAACTTGTGTGCCTAATCAGGAAAAAATTTCGGGGTTGCACTCTCTGGTTCAGCCGCAGTTGTCATCCGTTGAGAGTTGAGTGGAGCACCCTGCACAATCATATCCAACTCAAATCAAGAAATCGAACAAGAGTGCGCTTGAAACTTCAAAATCTCAACTAATCTCACCTACCGCGTAAAATGCGACATGAAACAGAGAAGGAGATCTGTGATTGTATTGAATCTACTGCTCGCAGAGAATTTTTGTG